GTGTGGGTGTGGGTGTGGGTGTGTGGTGTGGGTGTGGGGTGGGGGTGGGGGTGGGGGTGGGTGTGGGTGTGGGGTGGGGTTGGGTGGGGTGTGGGTAGGTGGGTGTGGGTGTGGGGTTGGGTGGGTGTGTGGGGTGTGGGTGGGTGAGTGTCGGTGTGGGTGTGGGTGGGTGAGTGTCGGTGTGGGTGTGGGGTGTGGAGTGTCGGTGTGGCTGTGGGTGTTGGTGTGTGCCGATCTTCTCTCCACCAACAACCATCCACTCCCACATCCACTCCCACATCCAGATACACACCCACATCCACACCCACACTCACACCTACACTCACACCCACATCCACACCCACACCCGCACACACACACAACCACACCTACATCCACACCCACACCCAACCACATCCCACCCACACCCGCACCCACCCACACCCATACCCCACTCACACCCACACCCACACCCCACATCCACACCCACACCCACACCCACCCACACCCCACATCCACACCCACACCCACATCCACACACACCCACATCCACACCCACACACACCCTGAAGTAATGATGAATCAATTCTAGTCTTTTTTTGTATCAGTCGATAGAAACAACATGTTTATTCGGTTAGTATTTTAAAAGAATTTCAGCATTGTGCATAGGCTTCGCTTTCTATTACTCATTCAACACGCACTTCTTTCAGTCTCCATACTTTTCTATTTGTGCGCAATTTATTAAAATTAGATACTTTATATCATTCGACATGGAACAGTTAAAACGGTGATAAACTAATAGTCTTGAAGATTCTGATAATACCAAAAGAAAACAGTTTTATAATAAATGTCAAACTGAGTACTTACTGTCATCATTCTAATTTTTGGCGAAAACCAATCGACACCAATTGGTCACTTTCTATATATTTCTTTTTCAGTATTTAATCTTTTTTGCTTTTTAATTTCTATAAAAAATCTCCTATACTCATTTCGAAGATTTATCAAATGAAATATTTGAATATCTCGATTTTTATCATATGTCTATGAAACCTTTTCAACTCTTAATAAACGGTTTGAAAATCTTATTATCGATTCAAAACTTCCTATTAAAATCAATATTTCATCGTTATATCAAAATCAAATTTCAACGTTATTACACAGATATTATCATACCTTATCTACATCGAGTGAGATCGCTTCGTATAACAAATCTATTCACTATTAATATCATTTTGTCATCACGAGATAATGTTTCAAAATTTACTCAACTTAAAACACTTATTCTTGATAATATCGAATTTTCCTATCTTCGTAATCTTGATTATTTAAATACTTTGTCAAGGCTATCCTCATTAGTCATTAGTAGCGATGGTTATAACAAAGATCAAGCTGAAATTTATCATAAAATACTTCACTTAATAAATATATTTCTATCGAATATCTGCTGGTCAATAATAATCTTCATCTTGATACACTTTACGTTATTTTATCGTATGAGAAAAGCAAGATGATGTCATTGTCTATCTAGCCAAACCATATAAGTAAAATAAATAAATTTATTCATTATAATCGATTTTTTTAATATTTTTACTTTTAGGAGAAAAGATTTTATATTAGAAGACTTATTACATGTTACTATTACGACGATAAAGGATTGCGATAGAAATTACATTCTGCACTACTTTTTATTATATCTGAGACAAGAGAATTTGATTTTTTTGAAAAGAAGGGTGATGATACTTCGGAGACTGAAATTATGTCTTTCAGGAGAACCGTGCGAAAAAACTTTTGTAGTCCTTCATGTAATATCGATCGAATCACAAATTTTAATATATAATACATATGTATTCATTAAATTGATATATACTCGTTAATTTTTCTCTTAGAAACTTCGTAGATTCATAAGAGTATAAAATCTGATTTGAATACTGAGTATTCAGATGGCTTTTTATATATTTTGATACTGCTGACTGAATCGATACATGTATGCTATAACATCTTTTATTACTTCTTTCTTCTTCATAGTCTTGTTCGAAATTGAATCATATAACACACTCTAGAAGGACATTTTGTAAAACGAAATATATTGTTTATTTTGATATTTGTTCAAATTCAGCGAAAACAGCATTATGATCGGTCGCTCCTTTCGTGTCAATAATTGAACATTTGGTCAAATTCCAATGATCATTAATACGAGGATGTATATAAATATAATCAATTCGTGTTCCATAAGGACATGTTGCTACTTGTTCATTCTTCAATGTAGGATTTATCTTTTTAAAAGCATCTTGATAATTCCATTCATGTGTTATTAATTGAGTTAATTCAAAACGTGGTTTTTCCCAATTAGATTTTTCACGTCTTTCAACAACAATATTATGATAATAATCATCTGAATAATCTTCTCTTGTCAATGCATTCATATCACCCATTAGTATTTCAATATTATGTTCATATGGATTAAATTCTTTAATTTGTTTTCATCGATCATCTTCATCTAAATAATCTAAATGTGTTACAGCAAATGTTACATTTTCAATAGTATCTAAACAACATTGAAGTATAGATCTGTAACCACCTACACAAAAAAAACTTGTTTCCTGAACAGAATAACATCGAATTGGATATTGAGAAGCAATACCATTACAACAAGTTCCATTAGATGGTTCATACACAGAAAAAGGTAAAGAAAGACGTTGATAAAATTCCTTCCATTTATCATTATTTTGTACTTCTTGAATGGCAATTATATCGAGATTGAATGGTTCAAGAATTGATATTGATTCAGAGACATTACTTGAAAAACTAGGAAGTCTACAAAAAGAATGTACATTGATTGTTGCTAAACGAAATGTTGTCATTATGTAGGAAGAAGTCAAATGAATCGTATAACCATGTGCTGTTTTTTTTATTTGCTTTTTGATAAGGTTTGAGTATGTTCTCTTTACTTTTGTTCTCTGCATTTGATATAATCATTTTGAATCTTTTCGTCTTGTTATGCTATCTCTTAAAAATCATGTTAAATTATTCTTCTTAACATTCAACAAAAAAATTCTTTTTCATTTCTGAAGTGACAACTCGGGTTAACGAAATTCTTATGAATTCGGTTCATTGTGTCAACCTTAAAACAGAATATCATGAAACATCTAGACGATTTGTTAGTGATGTAACTAAGGGGTGACTAAGGAACTGAGCCTCCACTGAATGAAGCCTCGCCAGCTAAACTCTGCTACGATCCCTACTATCGACATAGCGCTCGGTCGCCTGAAATTTCCGCCGTCAAAGTCCTGGCAAGGTCACTGCGATTTGCAGACTCAAATAATGCTTTGAAAGCAAAGACTTGAGCAGATGAACTGTCTATCATTCTATTTTACTGGCCTTTTTGATTTATTATACAAATCGAAATATGGTTTTAATAATCAATTGTTTATGGATAAACTGTAGTCTGAGGACATCACTGCGCATGATTAAAGTAAACGAACAATATGAAAATTACTTTGTAGTTAAAATAGTTTTTGGAAAATTTTTAACAAAAAACAAATTACAATCACATTAAACCCGTTCAAAGATAATAATCTTCGGACATTGTTTTTTGTTGATGTACTTGTAGACATTGTAGATGTTGTCAATATTACTGTTGTTTTTTATATTGAAGTAGTTGTTGGAGAAAGAGTATTACAATGTTCTATTGCAATATCATCAAGAGCGACTGAGACTTCTACTGGTAGTTTTTGATAAACCGTAAAATAAAAAGATTCCATACATACAACCTTGGGTACAGGCAGTATAATGACTTGCCATCCTTGACTATCATCTGTATATATATACCACAAAGTTGAACCGAGACAACCACCTACTGTTACAGCTAATGTTGTATCATTTTTATTGTATATTGATGATTTAATATAATAAGCAAATCGAATGCACATACTCAAATCTACTGCTATTGGTTTTGGAGGATGAATATAGCCTAAATCTGTTGGAGTGAAAGGTAACTGTCGATTCCAGTAGATGAAACCACCTGTTGATGAATTACTCGTATGATCTCGTGTTGGACCTAACTTTCGATTAGGAACAGTATCACCAGTAACGATAGTAAAATTGTGTGTAGGTCTAGTAAAACGATCGCCATTCTCCATTTCACACATGGTCAAATTATCAAAATTACATGAAAAAGAAAGAAGACCAGCATTGTCATCAGTAAATGTTGAAGGAGGATAATCGCATGATGTGATAGAGATGTTGTCTAAAGCGAATGAATAAGGATTAGTACCAGTAGTATCCACACGAAATAGTAATGAATAATAACCAACAGGCAAATTTACAATACCCCAAATCCTGTCCAATGAAAAAATATATTCGATCAACAACTAATTATATTCTTTAAAAACCATAACTTACCACTTATCGCGAGTATATCTTAAAATCAATAAAATGAATTATTATCCCTAAAATTTCGTTCGAGTTTTGATGTAACTTACATATGTTGACGACCAATTGGTGGCCACAGCTTTCGCACTGTTTCAGATGACTCTGACAACTGTGCATATACGTTTAAATTGCCTGCAGCTGTTTGACCATAATTATAATATTGAAAATTTAAACAGAATGATTCATTTGTAGTGATATTGAATGATGTTTGAAGAGCAAGATATCCAACATTTCCTGCTTTAGTAATGTTCGAATTAGGTACGAAGACATAATGTCCTGATTGATTACCAAATGTAAAATCCACAGATGGTGCTTGACTTTCCATTATAATAGCATCACTTGCTTTCATCACTAACCATTGATATGGATAATTTGGTAGAGAAGAAAAATCTTCTACGCATGATGATTCAAAATCACATGTATATAGATTTGTTGGAGGTGATGGACGTGGTTCATCGCAATAATCAACAGAAAGATCATCAAATGTTAATGGAACAGTTGAAACATTCAATCGAATGGCTATTTTGATTTTTTCAGGTGGTAATGGGACATTAATAAATGTCCAATCGTCAATCGTTGGATCTTTACCAGGAATAGATGCAATAATTCGTGCCAGTTGTGCATCATCACCTTGTACTAGTTGAATAGTAAATGGAAGAGTAAATTGAGGTGTATAATACCACATTCGAAAACATATAGTTCGATCTGTTGATACTTGTAACCAATCTTTTGTTTTAATTTCAGCGTTGATGTCATAAAATGGTGGTAATTTTTGTGGAGTATAGAATAGATAATGACCAGAACTTGTGTTTAAAGTATGATCATGATCGTTAGATTGAGGATGAAGACCATCAGTTAAACCCCAGTTTTTATCAATAATAAAATCATTGCAAATTGTTTCAAAATCACATAGAAGAATAGCTGTTTGACCACATAATACATATTCAAAGAGAATAAAGAATAAAAACAACATGTTGATTGTTTTCATTGTTTTTCAGATGACTTATTTATATAGATAAAACTAAATTTATATTCGGAACGTCTGAACTATGATCAAAAATTCACTATAGTCTCAACTGACATCATTATTAAGAAAATACATTATTAGAAAACCTGCGAAAATCTTTTTACGATTTTATTCTTATTTCTTCTTTTTCTTATGATGAGAGGATCATATGATTCATTTTCGTCCTTTTATGTTCTTATGAAATCTAAAGCTAAAATAAGTCTAGACGTTGTTTTTGTTTTACATATTTAAGATAAAAATATAATGAAAAATAAATTGAATAAAATTTCTATTTAATACTTTTACTAATCATTTACCTTCTTGATATAAATATCAGTTGAGTACAACAAATTCTGAACGATAACTTAGATGATCTTGAAACTTATGAAATATAGCTATTCGTTTCTTCCTTATCTGTGCTAATGTGAATAGAAAAACAAAAAAAAAAGAAAAAACCTTATTTTGCTCTAGACAACAAATGGAAAGATGAAAGACGAACCATCTATATTAATTGTTGACTGCTAATAAGTTGCTCAAGAAAAATTCGGTTATCACGTACTATGAGTGAAAGAGAAAAAAAGTGACACTATTCATACAAAGAATCGATGATGAAATCAGGAATCCACCGAAAATGAATTAGAATATTAATCGAAATAATATTAAGATAAACAAAATAGAATTGAAGAAACACATACACATTCCAACATATAAATAAACAATGGAGTCATTAAAAACACTGTCACTTGAGATCGAACAAAAACGAAACTCAAATAAAAAAGAGTTTAGAATTTCAATGTATTCATTCATTGTGAAAAAAAAATTAACAAATCACATGACAACAAAGAAAACAATTAGATAATAGAAACAGTTATCAACTCGCACATATATGAAGAGAAAAAAGTAGTCGCACCTCTTTAAGAATATCCTTTTCTTTTAATGATTGTTAAAAAATTGGCTTCTCATTCTGATTAAAAAAAATCAGAGTAGTCTATAAATAATAATTTTCATACTAGATATGTTCATAGAAACACTAGTAATAGAAATAAAGATTTTACATCTAAACGTGTTCAATTGCTTTAAAAAGAACGAGAAAATACGAGTAAACCTATGTTTTCTTAACAAATATTCCGTGCTAATATACGTTTTAGCCTTTCAATACAGTAACAATCGTGAAATTTCCGTTGACAACAAATAATAAACACTTAATTTAACGTGTTAAAGAAATTGTTAGAACACTGTTTTTAAATTATTTCAATATCTTGTGTATTTTTAGTGAGTCATTACTAAAGATCCTCTAGGGTACAAGTCAGTATGTTAATCTTATATCATTCGACAGTGAAATGTTTACTCTTTATCGAAAACTAAAAAGAAGCTCTTTGGAATCTTGGTAGGTAAAACCATGCATAAAATGCTTCAAAAAAGTTTCCGACAGAATTGGGAAACCTGATTTTTAGATTGTCTGAATTCAGACAGGGAAGAGAGGAAGGAGGCCTTTAGAATACAGTGCATTTTTATAGTATCTGAAGTCAAATGTTTTATTAAATTGAAAAAGAGCATCTTTTGTTGAAAGACAACATATATAGTAGTATCAAACGAAGAGAAAGGATGGATTTCATTTTGTAGATGTCAACAAAACGAAGTAAAATTCAATAGTGACGAAAAATAGTCAACATGGAGATTACTATTGATTGATTTTTTCTTATAATAACGACTTAATCACTCATAATATAAGATTGCTGATCTTATCAATGTTATTTTTAACTAGTGGCAGAGTAATATTGCATACAAAGGAACTATATATATTTGAGTAAAAACTGGCATTTGTCAACAGCAACAAGCGTTAATATAATGCTTACATAGTTGCTGAGTAGTTGTTGTAGTTGGCATTGTAGTTGTTGTAGTTGGCATTGTAGTTGTTGTAGTTGGCATTGTAGTTGTAATTGTGCTTGCAGTTGTTGTACTCATTGCTATTAATTATCAAAGAAAATTTGTGTAATCAAAACAGATAGTTTTATGTCTGACATAGAATGTAATATAGAACTCGGTGCACTCAAGTTTTAGGTGAAGCCTACACGGTGTTCCAAAGTAGAGCGCCGATCTCAAATGGCCTGAAAAAGGATTTTTTTTTCTTTCAAATCTAATTTTTGATGAAAAACCTCTGTATTCATGGGAGAACGAAAATCCAGTAAAATTTTTGATAATTCTATTCGATTTGATTCGACTGAATCAAATCAAATCGAATTGCATTGAATTGAACCGAATCAATCGAAACTGTTCTGCTCAAATTCATCGCTTCTGTTATATTTTAAATACAAGTAAAAGATTTAAATGTACTGACTGTCGTTGCAGTACAAGATCGCTATTCGAAGTATGAAGTTCGTGATTTCAATCTGTCACATAAATTACCCACATGCCAGTGTGTCCATCTTAGACCATTAGAATACTCTGCCGTCATATCAGCAGTGTGAGTGAAATGATTTTACAGAAATACTGAACAGAACCGAAGAATACTGTAAAGATAAATTGTTACAAGCTCTCTTTCTTTTGTTGCTCTAGTCGTCAGACAGTTTAAATATTGACATTCTTCTCGTAAGAAAGAAATCTCAAATGTTTGCTACAAGCAGACATAGCCTCCAAAATAATTAGCTGTACTAAGGGTATTCGGCCAATATGCATTCTATGCTTATTAGTATTTTTCTGAGGCGGGCTGAGTCAGCGGTGCTACAAGCTGTGAAAATTAATTTTCATATACAGTTGCATTACTGATCATTAGTAGCATATTCATTCAATTCAATGGCTAAAGCACTCTTGAAGCTCTAGCGATTACTTTGTCATAGCTAAATGATCAGTCTTCAATTTCGCAAGGTAAGTCATTAGAAACATGACAGAGAGAATCATAAATGCGTTTTATTTCAAGCTAGATGTTAATCGCAGTTGTTTTGAAAAAAGGCTGCCGAATGAAATCAATATTCACTAGACTCGATCGCGCATACAATGAAAACTGTGAATAAAGAGAAACGTGGCATAATAGAATTGAAGTGCTCTTATGGAGATCCTCCTAACATATGACACTTTCTACAGAATCGAATCGAATGATCAATTGTCCAATTTGTTTCGGTCTCTAATTCACATTCAAAAGTTCACTGCATATTCATGCATTGCTAAATGTAACTGAAACAGACTCGGTATTTCAAATTAATGAATACAGTTCCATGAGAACAGATGGAATCTTTTTCTCCACTGATTACAATTCGTTTTCTCTCTGCCATGCTTTATCTAATTTTTCAAAGGCTCTTCGACTCTTTCCCACTACTCCTACACCAACATGAACTGCATATGTTAGAGTGCGTGAACGATGAAGAAATACCTTTAAGAAAGATTCGGCTTTCACTTGAATCTGTAGAGCACTGTTTGTTTTCTTACTTGCTATCAGTGGACAGAGTTGTCGATTGAAACTTGGCACCGGATAACAAACAGGAAGATTATGACATCGAGGATGATGAACACATCTATGATTAGATTCACTGCAAATGTTGTTTGAGCGTTCGCATGGAACTAGCTCAGAACAATCGACGAATTCATCGGTGCAAATGCCAATGTCAATAGCACCTGCTATATGGAAACATGCACATGCACTATTTAGCGAACATCGATTATATTGAGCAATTCCATTGCAGAATTGAGATTTCACTCGAACTAGCGACATACCAAATTAATAGGAGGATATGTAAAATAAAATAAGAATCAAACCTGTAAGGCTTAAAAGGAAAATTGTTCAACATTAGATGAATAGGAAAAAAATAGATTTTAGAATTACCTGAATAGAACGAATACGAAACAACGAATTACTGTTGAAACCATTGCTTGCGTTGAAATGAGACAGAAGAGCGGCGGCAACCGTCTTTATATCTAATGAAAAGACAATATTTTTCGCATTCGCTGAAAGTGAAGAAGCGCACAATGTGATCTTTCGAAAAATAGAAATTCGATATTGCTCCACTACTTTCTTAAGCACTTAATTTTGCTGCGAAAAAGTAATCTTTATAGAAGAAAAAAACGTCGTAAAAGCAACATGGGACTGCTTCTGTGATATAAACATTTAATATGCTTGTGCTATCGTTCGAAATATGAATATTGTTATTGTCAATCATCAACTTACTATGTAATGACGACTTAGAACAATTTCAAGGACAAACTTTGTTTTTAATATTTGTAGTTTTATTATAGGCAGCTTACAGAAGTTTGCATATTGATCAAATCAACGTTACAATCTATAGGCAGCCACATGCATTTGTACTTTGGACTGTGTCTTCATTGAACCTTAAGGGTTTATTTGTTTGACTTCAACTCCGAATCTCATTTTTCACATAAATATGTCTAGTTTAATAAAAGATCTTCTATGAAAATAGTGGCATGGCTACGAGTACAGCAAAGATTAGGATTGTTCACGAGTAAACAAAGTTATTTCTATGATGAAACAGATGTCTGTTTCCTCTGTCGAAACTTTTTCTGACATCTTGTCCTTTCCTGTGAAGAATTTTTAGTCATGATACTATTCGAAAACGCTCTTTCCAGCAAAATGTTCATGCTTAATCAATTCAGTCACGTTCGACTTTAGATTGCAGAATCATATGTCTACTCTCACGTGAATGACGTTCAATTTTTATCTCGACATCCTCGTTTCAAATCAGAGATTTGACTACAAGAATCTTCCTTCAATCTTACCATCATCATTCTTATTATTATCATTGCCTATCAAACAAAGTCTGATTGATGATGTGGGGATGATATGAATGTGCTTACCGTTGTGAGTGAGGACTTTTCTATACATTTATTTTCGCATGACAGAGAGAATGATTCTTTTGAAGCTTTTTGCTCTTTCTTTATCTAATTTCTTTGAGATTGAGAAGCGGGTGTGGGGGTAGAGAGTGTGAATGTGCCCAGGTGAATAAATCCGGCAACGAATCTGATCGGATCCGATCTACAGACGAAATCCTCTGGGAATCCGCGACATGGAACCACTCACGAATCCGACGGATGAAACATATTTAATTAATTAAGTACTAATTACTATTTGGCGCCAACAGTAGAGGTCAGTCAGAGTGGTGCGTTGGATTCCGTCCAATACCGGCAGTAGGATCCCATGGGATTCCAACACTAGGGATCCGAATGTCGTTCCATCTCCGAGATTCAGATGGCATTTCGTCGGTTTTATAGAAATTCATAGAAAATCCAACGGGATTCCCATCGAATCCGAGCTGATCCTACTGTCGGATTGAATCTCCAGGACGGATGGGTGTGGACGGCTAGGAGGATGAGATTGGATCTTTTCTTGGAATACATATCCACACCTACACACTCCACACTCACACCCACATCCTGGTTTACGACCAGAAACGCTTTCACTGTTACTCTTACCCACAGCCAAAGTTTACAATAGTGTCCGTCTTCTTGATATACATGATCTCATTAAAGGGTGTGGGTGTTCTTCTTCTCTTGATCCACACCCACACCCTCGAATATCATATTCATTTATATTTCGTTGTGTAATATTAATACCATTATGTATTTATTTATTAATAATATTAACACCAATAAAAGATATTCAATCATTTATATCTGATGAAATAAAAATAAACAAAAAATTTGCTTATTGATGTTGCACATCCAGATGATGAATGCTTAGTTTTTAGCCCAACTATATTAGGTTTAATATCTCGTAATAAAAAAGCTCATCTACTTGTTTTATCAACAGGAAATAGATTAATGGTTTAGGACCAATTCGAGAAAAAGAATTAAAAGGAAGTTGGCAACGATTAGGCATTTATATATTTATCACAATGTATATCTTTAAACTTAACTGATTTACAAGATAATCCAAATCGTTGGTGGCCAAAAGAAAATATATCGGATATAGTTGATAAATATATAAAAGTATATCAACTGGATTTATTAATAACATTTGATCGTGGTAGAATATCTGGTCATCGAAATCATAAATCAATTGCATTCCGTATTGAATATTATATTGAAAAATCTTCTAAAACACCATTAATAAATGAAATATCAACAGCTTCATTTATATTTGAATTTTCTTCAATAATTGATATATTTCGACCAATAATTAAATTTTTACCTCGATTATTTCGAAGTTTATTTTCAACAAAGTTTCCATTTATATTTTCTTCACCAAATGATCAACGTATTTTATTTGTAAGTTCACCATTTAGATATTTTAAAGGATTAAAAGCTGTTCATGTTCACCGTTCACAAATGATTTGGTATAGACATATTTATACAACATTTAGTCGACATATGTTTATTAATGATTTGGATAAATATCAACAACTTCATTATTATTATCTGTTCTTTTTCTCTCCTGTTAAATATTCCTTTTCTTTTTGTTCTTTTTTACAATCAATTATGGAATAGAACATCTTTCTCGCTTTATTATAAAAAAAGTTTTGTGTGTTTTTTAAAATCGAATCAAAATTAGTTGTTTTATTCTTGTGAAATTTTATTTTGATGAAATGTTGACTAAATAAATATTGAGTTAATAATGTTGATCAGAAATTGTTTGGTGATGATGATGATCATTGAGTTCGTCAGTAGGTTTTAAAAAAACCATTCTCTCTCTCGATCTAATATAAGGCTACTCTATCGAATTAAGAGAAAATTAAGTATCAAAATCATCGAATAGATTAATTGACTATTTTAAACTGTTTCATTTGTAAGCTGTTTGCTCTAAAGATTTTCTAGTTAGAAAAAAAAGAAGCAGTTTCTTCGATGAGTCGATAAATATATACAACTCGTCAAATGTTACCAGAGACAGTTGTTCAACGACTGATGAATATAAAGCAGACATATTTTTATGTTCTTATTCTAGGAATTATCTTCCTATGAGATCAATGCATTACTGACAAATGAAACATTATAGTTTTTTTTTTATTACATTTATATACATAGAAAGAAATATTTAACTGAAAAGTGAAATATGGCACAAATTTCAATAATACTCTACTTGAAATTATTCGAAAAAAAAAACGAGTGAATGTCAATATAAGGTAAGTACAGAACGCCTCAAAAGTCTGGCCCCATTTTTTTGTTTTGGGTCGTGTATTAAAACTGCACCTAATTATTTTAATCCAATTATATGTTTGGATAGATCGAGTACTATATATGTATGTAAGGTGCACGTAATGCAAAAGTCCAGCAGACAACAAATCTAGCTAAGTTGTACATCAATCCATAAAGTTTTTCACGCTGGTTCAAAATATATAGTTTTTACGATCTTAGACCTCACTGAGCCAAGAAAATTACAAAATACCAAAAATTTCAGAGAAAGCAAAAAATAGCTTTTTCACTATAAATTTTAAGATTAATGTATCTTAGATTAGACTTTTCCAATAAAAGTTTTTATTTAAATCAAGCTTATAAAACTGTGGTATTTAGATTAGTTTGATGAAATTTGATCAATCTCATGACATTTGGCTGGTTTAGCAAGACCCACATTGGATTTCACGGATAGCCTCACTTTGTAAACCTATCTCCTTTCTTACTATAAGAGCTGAAACTATTTTTTGTATAGCATTCGAACCATCAGATAGATAAGAAAAAAATTACATTTGCTCTTAACGTGGCTCCTTAGCATCGTTGAGAAAATTCACTTTTCCCACCTGGATAACCAAATGGCTAAAAATTGAGGGTGTACTTCGAAGTTTTTCCAGCAAACGCCTTACTTTTCGATCGGTTGGGTACGATATTCGGAATCAGCATAAATAACTGCGTCGAATAACCTATATTCCGTCAAAGAAATTCAACATCCAAATTTGATCTATACTCCCCCTCAAGGCAAAATTGAGTGAAAAAAGCTGAGAAGGGTATGAGTGCGGGTGTTAGTGTGAAGAAGACTTTGATACTCACGCCCTCTGCTCGAACATCTAATGGAGCATTAATAATGACGATCGATGCACTTGGACGTTTATATGCAACTTGATTTACTTCATATAAAGCAGTTATTCGAAAAATAAACTTTATTCTACTCATGAAACTTCGGTTGCATTAATTAATTGCACAGTTAGCACTTTTAAAAATGATAATAAAAAGTGAATTCAACTTGTTTTTCCTTTGTCTTCTAATAGTATAATCTTCAATTACAGCTCACTGGATTAAATGTAATCATTTAAAATCGATATCAGTTTTGCTTTTATATGAGGGTTATTTTTAAAATGGAAACTTTGGAATTTTTCAAAATTATCTCTGGCACCAGTAATAGTACATCTTACTTTTTCTTCATTATCAAAGATTTGATATCGAGTTTCAACTATTACTACGCAAAATATGTGTTGTTCTTTATAATCTATTGTTGTTTAATTACAAATTCAACATAACTTTTATCTTCACAAGCAATATTACATTTTTTTTCCTCAATGAATTTAGTAATCAATAAAAATACTTAAGATTTATCTGTATGTACTATTAGTAATACATTCAACTTTTAACTTTTGATCGTGAAGAACCGTACGAACTTTTGATGTTCGAACTCAACTTCAACATAATCAACAATTACATTAGCAACTGCACGAACTTGGTCTCTACCAACTACACATGTATATTCATATAAATCAGGCAAAATAACATGGATTATTTTTTATGTTAGTGATTTATTGTATGATAATTTAGAAATTCGAAATAAAGCACTACTTTCAACTGTTCTCTAAGCATTTTTAATAAACTTCTCGAATTCGAAAATATAGATACAGTATGATGATGAATGATGGAAAAGGAGGTGTTAACAGTCACACTGCACATTATTAGTCAATGATTCTTTCATTTCAAGGTATATTTTTGGAATGTGCATTAATTGCATGTGTATGAATGATTAGCATGTGGCTGTAAGAGCACAGCAGACATACAAAAAACTCACCATTACACCTACACCCTGAAAAAAGAGACCCCCCCCCCCCCCCCCCCCCTTATGCGGTACGCTTTTCTATCGAAATGTGTAAACACTGGTATGCTTTTCGTAGAAGAAAGAGATGTTTTCAAGCACTTTGCTAATGGCATCATGCACAGCAACTGATTTCTCTAACAACAAAAAGCTTTTCATTTTGACATAGGTGTTTACAGAGAAGAAAAATTAATTCGAGTATTGATGAGATCTCATGTGTTAAAAAAGAATTGAAATGAGTTTCGTTCGAACAAAAACAACAGAAAAAGAGAATTATTTACTCTTCTAACTGAAAAAATAAATGATTTTTATTTTGTGCTCTTCTTTGACGACAAAAGTGTACATGCAAAATAAAAGCTAGTTGTAAGTACTTCAATGTTGAATAGAATTCTTTTTATCTACCACTAATGTAAACCTTATTATTGCAGTGTGTATTAGGCTGGAATGTGAAATTTTGATGTCATTTTCAGTTTCACTGTTCTAATATATAATACAGAATGCGTAAAACTTTTAATACAGGACAGTTTCTTTTTTTATAATGATCGATTGTTAGTAAATAGTATGTTTTCACTTTTTTAACGTGAATAAAGATTTACGTGAGTAATATTAGAACCAGATTCGAATATTTTCTGCTCGATTTCGCATTCTGAGCTATGTCGGGTTTCAAAAGGATTGCATTTGATGCATCATTTTATTCTCTATCGAATGGTGTCATTTTCCATGGAGATTATCAGGATGTGGGTGTCACTCTAAGTGTCAATGACGGTATCCTGAAATTACGAACAGTTATGAAACACACAGTTCCGAGCTGCTATCGGCATAATCGATCACATGATAAAACAAAACCATGTGTATACGATCGATTTATCTCGCTACCCACACTCACATCCTGAGGTACTCCTAAGATGATTGTTGTCGGAGAAACTCCATTGAAAATGGTACTATTCGATAGTTTATAAGATTCTGCATGGAACACAATCCTTTAGAAATCGAGCACAGGTCAGAGAAAGAATTCCGGTAGAAAACATTTCAATGTGGTGCTAACACTGCTTGTCAAAAGTTTAGTTTTAGAACGCAGCGTTTGTTATACGCGTTTTCTTTTTTTCTCTATGTATTCCGTCTCTCGCAACTTACAGCTTCCACTATTATAAGCATCGAGTGGTATGCTAAACTCCAGTGGTGCACATATACATAATGTCTATCATACAAAACCATAACTGACGATTGTTCATTCTGTTGCATTCAGAAACACTGATATTAATCATTTCTGAGAAAAAGACCTTCTTGGTCAAAGCTCACTTTTACACTGTACCTAGAACGACGGTATAAATCGCTGCTTCCCCACAACTGTTGATATCTAGAAAGTAAATGTTCATACACAGGAAATTTAGAAGTTGCATAAACTAAAGCATGAAAAAGCAGATTGTAGAGTCTTGAATTTTAATTAAGGTTCCGAGATGTTTTTGAACCTTCTAAGTCATTTTATTGATATTATTTATTGTTATAACAGTGGCTGCTAGCAACTTTCATGGAAAATTGCTATGAAGCATGTAATGCGAAGGAACAATGAGAAACTGGCAAACTTTGATTTAAAACTAAAGTTCATTCTCTTTGTCGAAGAAGGCATATACTAGCTATCAGTACGTCCTACCAAATAAAAGTGCTCAATCAACTAAGAAAATGTGGTTCCTTGTAGTCCCATGTAGTGGGGGAAAAAACCTAGAACTTACAGAATTTGTCTCAATATGTAGTCTCCTGTAGTGGAGGAAAGCAGCTAGAATATGTCGAATTAGTGTTTTGATGTACCAGTCTGCAGTCAGTTTGTAGTTAACGAAAATGCGTGGAGTTTTTGTTTGAAGAATGTGCAATTGCTAAAAGAGGATAGCAGATGCGTTGCCATATGTTTTTATGCGCTGATGATTTGGTAGCTGAGCTGTGGGTGCATGGGGAAATGAGTCAGGTATCAGTGGGTGTGGGCGTGGGTGGGGTGTGAGTGTGGGTGTGGCTGTGGCTGTTGGTGGGTGTGGGTGTGGGTGGGTGTGAGTGGGTGTGGG